ATTTAATAATTGTACTTTTTTGAATGTTTTTATTTTATATTTAAAAATAGGTTATTAAAATTATTTTATATATGTTATATTTTTAATAATTAAATATAATAATAATTTTAATGTTATTAAATTAACTTTTATTATATAATTTATATGATTGGTCAATTATGCCATAAAAATATCAGTAAAAAAAAATCACAGAAATTGATTAGGAACTGTGTTATAAAAAGTTAAATATTTTATACAATTTTAAATAAATAGATTTATATAAAGGTAAAGATGAATTAAAATTATATTTATACTAATAAGATTATCATTATCATTATCATTTTTATTATTAGTAATTTCAAAAGATATTAATTGTGATTTTAAAAAGTTCTAATTCAATTTTTCTAATTCTTTTAATTCAAAATGTCTTTCAAAATATGTTTAAAACCTATTTTTCAAAATTAAGTTCTAATATTCTTTTGCTTTTTAATATGTCAACATGTATAATTTTCACATTCTTTAAAAAATATTATTAATTTATATATAGTATCTTAAATTAATTACTTTTCTTTATATTCCCCCAAATTTAATTCAATTAAATTTATATATGTAGGTTTAGGTTTAAGAAATTGTAGAAGACATTATATTTTTTAAAATTATAAAAGTAGATAAAAAAAAAAAATTTAAATAAATTTAATTTATTTAATAGTTTTTTTATTATTTTATAATATTAATTAAAAGGTTTTATAGTTAAATAAAATAATTGAAATCTTTAATATAAAAATAATTTAATAAAACATTTAATTTTATTTTAATATTTTCAAATAATATTATAAAACAGTTTACGTTATATTTATATTAAAAAAATTAGTGTAAAAATAATGTATTAATAGCAAAATCTCTCGTGTTACGAAATTAGTGTAACAATATTTTGTAAGAGCGAAAGTTTAGATATTTTATAGTTAAAATAATTTAATATTTGTAATCATATAGAAAAAATTATAATATCTCCTTATTTATTGATTCGTCTCAATATATATTTTAAAGTTTTTTTTCAATTAGTCTCTGAACCCATTTTTATTAGCAGCCCCCATAATATATATTTTTAAATAATTAATTAATAAATCAATAGGAATGCTTTCTAAATCAACTGAATCTAGAAAAAATACTTATAAATATAAATATCAAGTCCAGTTTAATTGTTTTATCTTTAAAAACTTAAAATAATATTATTGTGTCGTTATATAGTAAGATGATCAATTCTAAAATTTATATATTGTATATTAACTTCTTATTTTGGTTATGCATGAATCATTTGTCTCACCTTTTTTTAACTCCACTTTATGCTTCAATTTTCTTTTCCTCCATCTTACCATTTGCTTTCCACCTCATTTCCAATTTCTTATCACGACATGTTCGAAATTTTTTTATTTCCGGTGATTTACCCGAATTAAAAAATTATATCATGCAATATTTTAATTCAATTCACTTTCTTATCAATCGAGGATTGCAATTTCTCTAACCCTTTTAAGAGTTCAAAATCCATTGATACGTATTTCTCATTTTCAATACGAAATTCAGAAGTTCCAATCCGTTATGAAAGTGATATGTCACGTGATTAATTGGAACAATAAATATACCTCATTCAAGCATAGTCAAATCACATGAAAAAAGATAAATGTGCATTTAAGAAGGTTTAAAATGTCATTCAACCATATTCTCCAAAATATCTCATCTTTAGCGATGCATACGATGCATACTTTTAAAATTACTTATTTAGTAAAGTTCGGAGAGTTTATGATACTAAATTAAGTTTTATGTCATGGATTTTATTCGCCGAAATGGTCGAATAATTCAAAAATTACAGTAGGATGAATGTGTACTTTTGTAGTTTAATGGTCACTACCAAATGACTTTTTTTCATTTTTTTCAAGTGAACCACATAATAAATTGAAATATGTAAATGGATTATAAACTACAAAAGATTAAATAAATTAAAATTAATAATAAAAAAAAAAAAAGAATTTTTAATTTTTACTTTTCAAAAAAAATCAATAACTCACTATAAAATTTATATTTATACAAGAACAAAAAAGGTTCGCAAGCGTTCACATTGAGACGATTACAATATCGGATGCGTAACTCTGATTGGGTTATTTTTTAATTTTAAATACTAATTAATACTTTATTAATTTTTATGATACAAGTTTTTCTTTAAGAGACAGTATATAATTAAATTCAATTGAAAAAATACTTTCAAGAAAGGAAAATTGGAGGCCCATCATTTCTTTTATTTTTTTTAATAATTGCCAGCATTATAAAGTTCGAAAAAAATTGATTACATTAGAAAAAATGAAATTAATAAAAAATAAAATTAAAATGAAGTTAATGATAAAAAAAAAAAAAAAAAACTAAATTCCTCGACATATTTTAAAATGGCTAATTTTAAAAAACTTTACAAATACAAAATTTAATTAAAATATTGGGGACCGTTGATATCATGCTGCGGATGCACCACATCAACTGCTTGCATGATATCATCATTTTCATAAAATTCATTACCATCATAGAGCGTACTTTGGAAATCTAGAAGAACGACATCATAAGCATCATAAGGAATAAATAAAATATTATCTTCGTCAATTCCGTCGTAAGTTTGGTTCGTATCTTCAATATTTCCATCAGAACTTGACCTCATTTCATGTTCAGGAATCGGATCTTCAATAGGGGAACATTCGTCATTTCCATCAAGGTTTTGGTTCGTGGTTCCATCGGAATTAAATCTTATTTCATCTTCGGTGTTATATGATGATGAGTCATCTTCGAAAGAGTCATCATCTTCAGAGCATTCACTATCTCCGTCATAAGTTTGGTCCAAATTTTCTCCCGTTTCTTCATCAGGAAGTTGATTTTCTGAAATTCGTGAAGATATAATTTCCTTAAGGTCAATTTCAAGATTTTTCTTTTGACTAATAGTTAATGAATATTGAATAAATTTTGCATTTTCTACATCAATTTTTCTGCCATAAATTACTTGATTTAATATATTCGCGACTAAAGGTTGTGAAAATAATTTACAAGTAACGAAATAATTTACTCCAAAAATTAATAAAAAAAAGTGATGATCGAAATCATTTGAGGGAATGTAATCTTGTGAAATCAATTGACATATTATATGATAAGTCTTATTTTTTGAAGTATGAAAAAATCTAAGTTCCTGTTGAATTTCGCGTGACATAATATAGGTATTTTTAATTTCAAAGGTAATGAAACTTTATAAATTTATTTGAAAATATTATTATATTTTTTTTTTATCGATACAAATTATTTTTTTTAACGTGCTCTATTTATGGCAAAATGAAGCAAATAAAAAATTTTCTTTTATATTATCGCTACTTTATACATACTCCTGTAGATCTCTCCGTTTTCTTCGGTGAGGGAGTTCTTTTGTTTGTACAAATTTAAATAACTGCAGAGTAAAATTACACAGATTCGTAATTTTTTTTTATATAATAAAAAAATTTTTTTTTAATTTTATATTCTTATCAAAGTTTTCATTATTAATTTAACAAATAATTGGTTAGATATTTTCTATGTCTAACCAGCTGATCTTGATGTATTTTAACCTAGTATTATTAAATTTTTAAGAAATAAATTTTATTATTTTTTTTTAAATATGTTTTTATTCAATTTCACTAATTATTTAAATAATTGAACTAATAGAAAGTGGTTTTTTTAAATTTTTATCCATCAATAAATTCGCAATTTTATGAAGATTTAAGGTTGAAATATATCATGTGGGATTTGTGACGTCATTACGCACGGGTAAATTTGATTTTCAAAAACTTTACGTATTAAGCTGAATTTGGATTTAGGGTACCTTTCAAAGAAAACAACAAATTTTTTGAAAATAAAATAAATAATTTCTGAATCGAGAATTCCCGGAACTTTGCGAATTAATCATCAACTTCTATTTGAACAAAAAATGTGGTGTTACGAAAACATGTACTGTACAACAGTATGAACGTCCTGTTATTAGGTGAATTTTTAAGGGTCTGAAGATAACAGCAAGTGGCGGAAAGAGGTGTAAAAAAATATAGCACCTCATTTATTGTGGCAATAGAAACTTGCATAAATAAAAAAGAAAAAAAGTTGAGGGAAATTTTTTTTTTTTTTAGGGTATTTTTTTTAATTTTGTTTTTATAAACATTTTGTTCATCAATCAGCCACAAATTAATCACTACACTTTTCTGATTGTCTGTAAAAAAAGGAAAAAAAAAAGAAAGAAAAAAAAAAGTTTTTTTTTTGGTACTGTAGCACAATTTATTAATAGAAGTTTCGTTATTGCAACACAGATATGTTGCACCACTTTATTTTGTACATGTGACAAAATCGGTATTCTCCAAAAATATGGATATGGTTGCAGCTGCAGCCTTATCTAAAATTACAAACACTCAAGTGATAACATATAATGAATATTTATCACAAAAAGAAACAAATCCTGACCAAACTTTTCAATATTTTGATTGTATAAATTTCGCCAATATATGTGAATTCCTCATATATCGGGATGCAATTGTTGCTCCAAAGATTTCGGATCCAATCCTAATACGGCCATATTGATTAACATATTGCCTTTATATATAAAGTTTATCTGTCATCTTACAGTCAAAGAAATGAACGATCGCAATCCAAAATTAAACATCAAATTTTTTAAATGTGTAGGATGGATGCGATGGTATCGGTATGTTTATTTGCTAAATGAAATTACTGTAGATGCCTGCAGCAGCACGTGATCGACTTGAAAATTCTCATACTTATGATTGGCAGCCAATCAGAAGAACAATATTTTTTTTTGTTACACAGAAATATCAAATACAGTATAATTATCCTATTCAGCCATGGCAGATAATAAACTTACTAAGGAGGGTCGAATGCCACTTGTCTACGAGTTGCTTGCTACTTCTACTGCTGCTGCTAATGTTACTGTCACCTCCTAAATTCGTAAGAGGCGATATTATGTTTAGTATGTGGAACTCAATGTATTTAGCGAAATATGTATGTATGTATGTAAATCAATTTGTAAAGAGAATAAATAAAGTTTTTATTATAAAGAATAAAAGGAAATCAATTAATTACTGTAAATGAATATGTGAAATAATACAATAAATGCAACTATTACTGCCTCTGCCGACGCTTTGTATCAGGCCCAAAGAGAAAAGAAACTATCTAATTCTAATCTAAAAATTCAAAGCGAAAAGTCTTCCTTTTTATGAAACTTTCTTTCCTTAAGCCTTGGTTACGGAATTCTTGGCAGGATTATAATTCTTGCGGCTTGATTAACAGTAATCGCTTTGCTATGTCAAAAACTGTCATTTTGACATATACATTCCATCATCCCGAGGAGTGCGGCGATCCAATTTTTGGCGCAGTAAAATTCCGAGAGTGACGCTTCAAAGTTGTTAATACTGTCACCAATAGGTTTTATTCGAGAAAGTGATAATTTACAGATTCCTATCTCTATCTATGATCCAGATTTAGAGCCATTACTCTTCCCAGATTTATTTATGATGGAATATGGAATAGGTCACTTCCGTACCTTCCGTACCAATCAACCGTTACCGTTATTGACTTTGGAAATATCACTAAGTCGGGTAGAAAAGCTTTTGATATACCGAAATTAAAGAAGTGGTTAGAAGATGGTATTTGTTAGAAAGTTAGAATATATACAAAACTTTAAATTATATCCATCGATCCTCTTTAACATATTTTGAATATAAAGAACGTGAATATCGTAAGAAATACGGATCAGTTGGATTGGTAAGCTGAATACTTTACTTTATTCTCTCTCACTTTCTCTCAAACTTATACAGAACTCACATAACTTTTAATCTCTAAGGAGCCATCAGATGTAACTCTAATAATGATGTACCTAGCTAGGACTTACCCACCAACGAATATGGAATCGAGAAGACAAGATTGCCTTCTGTTTCCACCAGTAATCGACACAATATCACCACATATAAAAAAAGCTTTCCCGATTCAATCGAAGTACTTAAATGAAATGCTTACTCATTTAAATTGGATGAAAACCCTTAAACCAATGTATCGGGAAAATGGTAAAAGTAAATGTCAGGGAATTCAAAAAATTAGAAAAGGTTGGAACCACCAGCACAGATTGATGATTCGGGAGGGTTACTATTGAAATAATGTTCGGTTCATATAATTTATTATGTAGATTATGATTCATTTAACACATCCATGTTCCTTCTTACCTTCTTATATGTAATGATCCTACCAAATCATGATCGGTTAATTATACGGCGCGTTGGTTCAGGGTGATCGCATATTTCAACATTAATGATCAATATAATTTTTCGAATTTTTAAATACAGTTTTTATTAATTATTACAATTATATACATAGTAAATAAAATGCTGTATTATCTAATTAACATGTGAAATGAAAAATTTACAAATTTACAATGTTTTGATTTTTATGATTTCCGCAATGAGTTTGTGTAAATAAAATAAAGTGTGCGATGCAAGTATACTGTTTATCATAATAGATAATTTAACATAATTGACCTTTTCTGTTTATACTGAACGAAACGCTTCTCCGAAGTTAATGACGGACTACTTCATTTTGTTTCTCGGAATTGGAAATTTCTAAATACAAATCGAAAAAAAAATATTCTATTCTCACCTTTTCTTTCCCTAACTTTAGAAATTCACGGGAATCATACTTACCTCTTGGAAATCCATTTTAATATGCGAGAATCCTCATTTTTAAAAGGTTTTCCACAGAGGCAGACACATTAGCCTGCTTTATGTTGGTAGGAATCAGTTGAATTTCCACTCATTCATCAAGCATCCTGATTTATATATTGATAAATTGCCCATAACATATTCCCAAATTACATAATAAAAAATGAATTTACCGCCTGCGATAACTAATATATTTCATGGTTATTAACGTTAATTAGATCGTGTTACTAGAAAATAAATACATTTTTTTTTACAAATTTTCCCTTCAATATAAATGAAATCAAATAATAATACACGATTTAATACTACCCTAAGTATTTAAATAATCCACATTTTACAATGATTAAATGTAGAAAGCAATATTAATTGATCAAAATAATTAAAAATTTCGAAATGATATTATTATGAATATCACAGGACATTGAAGAAGACGAATAATAAAATACCAAAAGACTCATCAAAAATGAGGGATATTCAAAAATATTATAGGCAAGAAAATATAAATAATTAGCTAGGAAGTTAGAAATATATTCAAATTACATATATAACACGCAAGAGACATATAAAAATAATGAGTAAATATAAAAATATAAGATAAATGTTAATAATGTAGAAAATTCTTTCTATTCTATTTATAATTTTTAAACAATGATTTTTTTAAAATAAATGATGTGATGTATTCTAATCTAATAACAAGAAAAAAATTAAAATTTGAATAAATTTGTAAGCAATTAATTGTCGTTTTCTATAAAATCAAGTTACGAACATAGTCCGTAACATGATTTAATAGCAAACCACTCATATTAAAGGATAAGATTATTTAATAAGAAATAAAAAATTAAATTAAAAAATATAATTACTTGATAATATTGTTAAAATCTAATAATCATGAAGAAAAGAAAGATATTGTATCCCGAGATACCAATATTTAGTTGCTTGCAATGATTCATATATATAGTTATAAATACTATTATAAAATGATGCAAGTCGTATGATCAAAACAATAAACCTGAGACAAATGAGACAAATTAACCGTATCTGAAATATTTAAAGTTTGCGACATACAGAAATTTTCTTTGTTGATACAGTACAATCTTTCTCAGCTTTCATAAATTCATTTATATCAAAATTATTAATAATAATTCTAACTTCTTCTGCAGTTGGCCTGATTGATGGATTGGAGTCCCAACACCTTTTCATTAAATCGATATAACTATTTGGAAAATTTTGGGGGATTTTAGGGCGTTCACCTAAACAAATATTCAAGCAAAGTTCAAAGTCATGTGCTTTATCATAAAATGGTGGAAGTCCTGTTATAATTTCCCACATTATCATAGAAAAACTATAAATATCACTCGCATGAGTATAAGGGTTTCCTCTTAATACTTCGGGTGCCATGTAAGGTATTACACCGAAAATACTATTATTTGTAGTGAATTTATAATAATCGGTGGGTTTACATGATCCTAAATCGCTAATATAATTCGAAGTAGGATTACTGTTTATCAAAATATTACCATCATGAAGATCACAATGAATGAGACCTGATTGATGTATTACGTCAAGTCCAGAGATAATATTTTTCAATAAGTCTAATTTCTGTGTCCAATTAATTTTGACTATATTAGGTAAACATTCTCTTAAGCTTCCTTTGTTTGCATAACTCATTACCATTTTATATTCTAAATTATCCGGATCTTGAGTTATTCCATATAATTGAACAAGATTATATTGTGATTTTTTATGACAATCATGATGATACTTCCACTATAATAAATAATTAAAATTTAATCAATGTTTTTTAATCAAGGAGATGAAATTTGTATTAAGAATATATACCTCTTTTAAAGATTCTTCATTCAAATTTGGGGAATTATTAAAACTTTTAAGAATGACTTCGGTTTTTTTGTTCGACCTAATCCCTTGATATTTAAAAGGATCCCAAGAAATAAATGGTCCATCCAACCAGAAGGCTTTATAAATAGTACTAAAGCCACCTTTGGTAAGGTAATTAACATTTTCTAGTCTATTATAAGGTATCCATTCTAAAACTTCTCGCACATTCTTAGCTTTTAGTTGTGCATTTCGAATAAAGTCGGTAATATATTCATTTCCATTAGACAATTCTTTAAATTCTTTTTGAAATCTTTTAGCGTTAACGTTAGATTCCTGATGATTTTTACGTTTATTCATAAGTATAGATGTCGGTAATTTTCTAATTAATACTTATAAAGTTCAATTATTTAATTACAAATATTATAAGTTAGAATATGAAAAATTTAATTATAAAGTAATAAAATGTGTTTTCTTACATTTTTTTATTTTTTGTAAAACTTTTCTTTTGTAAATTTGGTGGTGTAAAGAAAGACATTACTTATATTGTTTTTATTTTTGAATGCATTGTTAAATTTGCTAAAAACAGATTAACATCGATTGACACAATTGGATGTTGCAATGACCTGTTGAATGTGTTACAGATTCAAATCAAATATGTAAAAAAAATCATTCATTCTTTAAACAAAGTAATTTGAATCTTAATCAATTATCGTTGCATATAAAAAAAATCAAGAAAATATAATGAATACTTAACATATGGATTGTATTATCATAAAAGTTCATACTCTAATTAGAGGATCCCTACTAACATCCTTTTTTCGTTAGTTATAATTTCGAACATTCGTAGAAACACGGCAAAATTTTTCTTGAAGAACCAATATAATATAAGAAAGAGGAATTGATTTTAGTAATTTGTTGCTAAGTTTTAAACTTTGATAAATTTGCTGAGGATGTATAAGTAGTTTGATTTGGATAACATAACTCGTCTAATATAGATTATTATATCTAACCAGTTGATAATATTATATAATTGGATACAAATCGCTTTATAAATATACCATTATCCTTAAAGTACCTCATTCAATCCTGTTATGGAATTAGCAATGTATTCACTTTTATAGTTCATTGGTACAGAGATAATTCATTTCGTTCGAGAATACAGAATTATTTTAAAAAAGCTATGCTTGAGATGGAATTTTGAGATAAAGGAACTTTATATTATAAGCGAGCAACAAGTATTTATAAAAACAACGATAGCATTAAATAATTAAATAATTGATAATTGACTATGGAGATATATATTAAAACTGCTACTCAAAGAAATTTTAGAATTAGAAATTTTTTTTTTTTTTTGAAATCAGTTTTTTGAATTTATTTCAAAATCGCGCGATATAAACACTTTTTTAAAACAAAATGAAATTGATCGACAAAAAAATATTCAATTTTGGTCGTATTGAAATGTAATGTATAAATGTAATGCGAGAATAAATAAAGAAAATTTTAAACAATACCATGTGTATGGCGTTGACTGCATAACTTCGAACAATGAGCTTACTTGGAGATATGAGTCCGTGTACATTTTCGACGTCCCAAAATTTTTGAGACGTCCCATATTATGTATGGTATTTCATCCATATCATCATTTAATAGACTTTAACGCAAATTTTATCATAAATTATTTTGATACTATTTAGTACTTCAAATTACAATTTACATTCAAGATGTGCCATAATTGGATTTTGATTTTTCACTTTGTGTAATTAGGATTTTGAAAAACGAAAAAATATTCCAAGTTCTAATTAATTCTTCCAAATTGATCATTGGATTATTTAAAATATACATACATACATACATATATATTTGTAAATAAGATTCTTTTTACAACATTTAATAATATCTTTATGAAATATTCTTCTGTTTGATTTAACTCAAAACAATATAAAAGTTGGAATTTTGAGTTTAGATTTACAGTAGATCCGATTTTCCGATGGGCCTTATGATTTTTTATTTACAAAATCGCAAAATTTTCTCCGAATCCAATAAATAATCGAATCAATAACACATTATCAAAGGTAGCGAAGATTTCCATAAACTCGAATCGAATTAGAGTAGCAAATTGACAGAATTTAATAAATTACCCAAGCAGATATAAATCGCACGGAGATCTCTGAAACTTTAATAATAGCCTGCTACACATGGACATTTTCAATTCAAATATATTTCAAATCACGTTTTGCAAAAATCATAATTATACAATCGGAATATGAATTGAATTTTCTGATCAATGAGAAATTAGATTGGAAATTCAATAATTTACTATGGATGGGTTTCTTTTATTTTTATTTATCAAAACAGATATTTTAAAATTGATATATAAATTCTTTTCTAACATGAATTTCTATCAAATGATTTCTCATAAAATTTTTCGAATAAATCATCAACATCATCACAAGATTGAGCCACAAAATCATCTTCCAAAATCATTATTCCACCGGTAAGTTTTAATACAGTTATGCCGTGTTTGGGCACAAGGTATGAATAGCTAAAAAAAATGTTATAATTATTAAACAAAAGTTTATTTGAATGGGATCAGATAAGGATTAATTACCTATTGTTATGAACTCCTTTATCTTCGTGTTCCCATAAATCTCGGACTGCAATTGCTCCACGAATGTTTAGATGTGTAGCAAAATTTAATTCGATTGTAGTAGATGATTCGCCTTTATTAAATAATACTAGACAAACAATAATAATAAATTAATAAATAATATTACTTTGAACTTTTTTTATTGAGTAGAGAAAGGAAATGAAAAAACTTACGAGCAACGTGACCATCAGATAATTCTCCAGTCCAAATATCCCAAGAACTTGTACGTTGAACAATAAATACAGATTTTCCCAATTTATCTTGCTATAAAAAAATAATAATGAATCATTTTCATTTTCACAGAATTTCTCTACATTTTAAATTGATACTTACATTAATCGCAATAATTTCGGTATTTTTTACAATTTTTAAAGTATCAACGGGTGGAGTCCTGATCTATAAAGTAAAAGAAAAAAATTTTGACTTTATTTCTTATTTTCCTTATGATTTTTGTTTAAAGAAATAATAATAATAAATAAAAATTTACATCAAAACCGAGTAAAAGGGGTGATTTTAGAGCAGCCCATAAAGAAAAATGACTTTTTTGTTCGTCTATAGTTAAATTACCATTGCCAACTTGTAACATATCAGGATCATTCCAACCACCCGGACCTGCGTATTTTGTAATCCTTTCTTGTTTTCCTAGTATATTTAAGATTGATAACCAACTTGGATGGATATCCTCTGTTGTTCTCCAACTGCTCGCAAGGCGGGATTATTTTTAAAAACATATAAATAAATAAATGATTTTATGATAGTAGAAAATAAAACAATAAAAAAATTTAATTACCTATTTCCAACCGAACTCCCCCATAGATGAGGAGAGCTTATCCTACAATACATACAGGATAGCGTTAATTATTAGATGATGCGTCTATCGAATTTACAATGATAAATTCATACCCCCATTCACAAATGCTATAAAATATAGGTCTTCCAGTAGCTAATTAAAAAAAGTTCTTCCGTTATAATATGCATATACCATCGCTATTGACGTTATCAATCCAATAAATAGAATTATACCGTTAAGCGCATCGCGCATAGCCTTAGTTAGAAATGAAAATAAATACAGAATAATTAGCATGCATTAATTTATTCCAAGGATAAATTTGTTTTTACCTGATATCGTTGTTGTTCCGGTGAAGTATCGTTGTAACAATTATCATATTTTAAATAATCGATTTCCCATGATGCATATGTCATCGCATCTTTTTTCTCGTATCCTATAAATATAGAAGATTTCGATAATTACAAAAAGCACTTCACATATTTAAAACTATAAAGAAAAAATATAAAGTTACCGAGACTTCCGGGTCGTTTGGCACATGTAAGAAATCCCGCATCGCTATAAATTCCGAATAAAAGTCCCTTTGAATGCGCATAATCAGATAATGCTATGAAATGCCAGGTTAAAAAAAAGATATATTCGATATGAATTCGAGAAGGTTGATTTATCCTTTTACCTTTAATTCCACTCGGAAACCTTATAAAAAAAGCAGAAAAAAAATTTAATTATAGGTATTGAATAATGATATACATATAAATTAATTGAGCTCACGTGATTTTATTGGCATGAATATATCCATCGTCATCTCTTTCGCCCTCCCAACAATCATCTACAGTATATCAATTCAATTTTTAATTTAATTTTTAAAAAAAAAAATGTAAATATAGATTATACCTATATTCAAATATTTATAACCAACATCAGCTAATCCATGATTAATTAGAGCATCAGCGGTGTCTTTAATTAATTTCTCATCAATACCACATTGAAACTAAATACTCATATAATTAATAAATCTAATTTTCAATTCAAATATTTCATGTCGAAGTAAATATATTAATTACCTTATTCCAACTATTCCATCCCATTGGGGGAGTCCTACCAACTCCATTGTTTAAGCTGTTTACTCCATTAATGACGAAGTAAGCTACATAAAATAACGTGATAAAAACTGGGAAATGAACTCCTGCTGAACCTATAATCATTTTACCAAATTTTTTTTTTTTTTTTTTTTTTTTTTTTTTTTAAAAAAAAAAGGAAAGAAATTCGGCCCACGAAATTTCATTCCATTTATAATTTTTTTTTTATTTATTTATTTATATTTACCTTATTAGGACATATACAACGAAAAGGTAGATCTGGGGTTTTTTTTTCAATTGATATAAGGTAAGAATTCTCTAACTAGATTTGAATTACTTTTAAATTATATATTTTCAAATATTGAGTAAAAAATGAATTAGATAGTGATGTAAATAATTTAGAATGCAATAAGTCAACTTACAAGTTGACTCAACAATCTACTAAATTCTTTTTTTTTTTTTTATTAATCTTTATATAATTGTAAACATAATATAATAGAATAATGTAATAATAATCTAAATAAAATAATAGACTTTCAAAATTCATATCACGTTTTCAAAAATATGAAATTATTTTTTCATAAAAAAATTTATTTTACATTTTTCTGCATTATACTTAAATAATACAAAGATGAATGAACACAAAAGACTGCAAAAAGACAAACTGAGCCGCAAAAGCTGACAACACTGTAATCTTTCATCATACGTCAAATGAAGGTTATACCTACTTAAGAAAACAAGCAAAGAAATTGGAAAGAAAACGAACTGCATCGCAAAAGTTGACAGAATCTTTCATCATACAGAAAATGATGATAAGTCTTAACTTCTTGTAATTGCATCATCATTTTTCTATCAGAAATCCAGAAGGTTTATTCGCATTTATTCAATAATAAATTTCTTGAATAAAGAATTTATGGAATTGATATTGATGTGAAAAATTTACAAACAAATTATTCGTCACTTACCATCAATCAAAATAATCATAATATACAACTCCAAAATTTATTGAGTTTCACACGATATTTCAACGACAGATATTAGTCGGTCACAAACCATTATAACGGCGGACATTAATGAAGATGGTGACTTTGACTTATGTTATGAACTAATCTTTTAAATTTTGAACATTTAACTTTGTTTTGATTGGATAGGTTAAATAATATAATCTGAAAGTATCCAAATTATAATTTTTTTTATAATCTTCAAATACTTCGATTATTCGCAACAGAAATTGTATCATTGCTTGATTTTATTAAATATTTCACAGCAATAAGAAAAGATATACTTTCTTCAATAAATTATTTGTTATTTACTGACATCAAGAAAATTCTTTTTCTTTTTTGGATGATCACACATATACAGTATATTATACTGTATGTGTAACTTTGCGCTTTAAATATTCGCATATTTTCACATTTTAATCTTACTAGATTCTTTACCCACATTAAATGTTATTTCATCCAAATATTCCGGCAAGTAATTGACAGTTCTTCGGTTGTTGGTAATCCAGTCATTTACCGGTTTAAGCAAGTGATACAAAACCTTATTTTTTTTAGTGACCATTTTGGCACATGTTAATATCGACAATCGACAATTAATTGGTTAGATACCAAGATAAAAAAAAACTCATTTTTCTCATAAATTTCTTTACAATAAGATTCGCTATATTTAATTTATATAATAATATCATGTGAATGTAGAGATTCAAAACTGCATCACAAATAATCACATTTCAAAAAATATTTGGTTTTTTTTTTTTTTTTTTTTTTTTTTTTTTTTTTTGGTGCGTTAGCAGGTAATGGAATCATAGTATATTATTACAACCTAAGCTGTGTGCTATGAGGTGACTACCTAAGGTCTCAACTAAAGATGGGAACTGTAATTAATATATTGCATCTTTTAATGTTGCAGCCTACGTTGCAATTAGTTTTAATCTATATATGTTGCAACTTATAATGTTGCAACATATGTTGCAACTAATTTTAGCATATATTGCAACATTTTGTAAATTTGAAATCAATTGCTATACCATCTTTAGTCTCAACATAATTTTTCATATGAAGCAACCATTAACTTGCACCAATCCCGAAGGTTACCATCTAGGAATAAACTCTACACAACCCTTTTGAGGGGTCAGTGTAGGTACCTAGACCTCTAGGTCCTATCAAATTTGGATAGAGAGATTACTTCAGCCCATAGAGTCATCACTTCTATGCTTTACTAAAGTTAAGTAGTCTACAATTTGCCTTACGCTCACATAGTGCATTATTGAACTAGTGACTGGGAGTAACCCTACTTAACAAGTTGACTTTGTACCCATTTTATCAAACAACCTAATTATCGAACCTGGCCTCTAACCCTAGTGATGGCTCGATTAGACAGTGCTGCAGTGTGCAATGCACTCTATTATCACCATTGATCTAATCTACTAAATTCTAGTCAATCACTTCCTTAATTTATATACAATTTTATGATTATAAAGGCACCTGCCGTGTGAGACGTAAGACTGTATCCATTACAGACCAATCAGCAAAGGCCAAGTTTCTGTCGATCTAAGGCTTCATTTGCATCTACTTATTCTTACGTCATGCAGTATTTAAGCATGATCAATATTGATCGACAGATCAATCAACCAGATTTGTACGCTTGTTAGTACATACGCCTATCATATTCAGTACATATGAAATTCTTATAAAAATCATCTAGTTTTATGTATTGGCCGATACTTGAACTGATGGCCTATTGCTGTATAATGAAATTTTAGCTTAATAAGATACTCGCAGTTTAACTACTGAGCCAGGAACGCCATTCCCCTAAATAATTTATTTATTTATTTATTTATTTTTTTTTATTTAAGTGTGGTAGATTTGCAAAAACTTTATTAATAGTAAAATATAAAAATTACATAAATCAGAATTTACAAAAATTTCTATCTAATATAATCATAAAATTATACTAAATCAAAACCTACCCTGCACTTTCCTAGAATCTAACATAACCTAAATTACATTTTCACCTTCCAGAGACTAGAATAAGAAAAGGGCTTGGCCACTACTACACTAAAAATTTGTTCATTGTGATCCTAATTGAACCATATTAGTAACGAGTTCAGAAGGATTAATAAGTTTCATAGAAGTTAAAAGGAAATATTCTGTAGCTTTGAAGTGTAAACGTTTATCCCGTTCACAATATTGTGTGATTTTTCAAAATCATTAAATAATGAGCATCGCCTTGTCTACATCATCTGTGATTGTTCGAAAATGAAATGCATAAAGTTGGAGAGAGTTGCAAATGTAGTTTCTTTAGTATCCAAAGTAGAAAGTATAAGGTTGTAGAGGCTTGTTGAAATTACGCTTTTAATAATGTTGAAGAAGGAAAAATCTGTGAGAGAGGATATTAACCAAATATTTGACTGATCGATCTGTTGTGGGAAGTCCTGAAGGTCGAGCAGTGATGTGAGATGTTGTTTAGACTGTTTAACCAGTCTAGTCAAATCATTATGCACAGTAATACAATTCCAAATATGCGAGAAATTCTCGATTTCAATATTGCATCTGATACATTTCCATGTCGAGTGATAAATAGTTGGATGTCACTTCTTTAAAACTTCTAAAGTTGGAAGAATTTCAAGTAGACGATAAATCTTTTTTTGTTTGCCATATAAGAAATCGAAATAAGGAAATGATACGTTTTTTATAAGGTTTGTATACGTAATTAATGATTCTATATCAAAATT